CTTCCCCATGGCTAGAATTCACAAGGCAATGGCGCCTACAAAGCATTGGCCATTTTTCACGCTAGCTTTGAATGGGAAATATTTTCTTTGGAAACAGTCTGTTTCGATCACACACAATTCCTACACTATGGCATACAATGGGTGTCCCATTCAAAAGACATGTCTGGGTGTCCCATTCGAAAGACATGTTTGGGTGTCCCATTCGAAAGACATGTCTTGGTGCCCCATTCGAAGAATTTCAATTGGTGCACACAAATTATGCATATGGTCCAATCAAAGGACACATATTTGGCCCTTTCAAAGATACACATATGACCCATTCGAAAGACACTTGTTGGGTGAAAATCAAATAGTATTGTTTGAAGAAGAATTTGGTCGAAGGTTGGACCTAGGTGGTTAAAACGAAAGGTTGAGATATCAAAAGATGCTTGCTGCCAAGTTCAAGTCTGATACACTGGCCATAACGCTCCAAAACTGCTGCACAGCAGTCCTGCAACACTGCTGCTATTCTTGCATCAATTTGGCATACGAACACTTCCCCTTGAAAGCTATAAAAACAATTTACCCATTTTGTTCAAATTGTTTTGTTTTCCCTCCTAAACCTCAGCCAACTTCTCCTATAAATAAGAAGCTCCATAACACGTCTAAGGGGCTGGACAACACATCCAGGGGCTTTTGATCGTTGGGGAAATCTTTGATTGTGTGAAAATTATCAAACACGTAACACATTATCATACCCGAATTTAAAAGGTCATACCTTTGTTTTTGACCCTTTCGAATCCAACACTAGAAACAAAACACATGTTTCTCTTCCCTTTCGAATCCAGGAATAACCCCACACTTTGTTTTTCTTTCAAATCTATTAGAAAGAACACTACACATGTTCTTCTCCTTCAAATACAGAAATAACAAACACCACTCCCACATCACCTGACCTTCGAATCCAGTCAAAGAAACACCACACTTGTTTCTTTCCTTAGAATCTAGGAGCATCTAGGCCAATCACTCAAGGTCAAACACATGTTCCAGCTTCAAGCAAGGTAAGCCACCCTGACCTTAAATTTTTTGTTTTAAGCATGTACATAACATTTGTTTCCTTTTCGTTTCCACCTTTTCAGTCTGTTTTCATTGCTAACCTTTTGGTTTTGTTTTTTGGTTTATCAAACGTTTTTAAGAAATAACCTGGACATGAGACAATACTAGCATGGCCTCAGGCCATGTTGCTATTTAAATCCCAAACGAAAGAAAACAGGAGGAAGGAAGTGTGAATCGAAGCTTTAGGCTTCACCCCTGGCTGCTTCACAGTTGCAAGCAGAACAAAGAGTGTGGCCTTAGGCTTCGCCATACATTGACATTCCCCCAATCGAAGGAAGCAGAAAGGCAGAATCGAAGGCTGCATCTCATGCTTCATGCTAAGCCCAAATTAAAAGGAGCCAGAGAAGCAGAATCAAAGGGTGCATTCTACCTAGATCGAAAAGCTTATTTTCCTCCTTTTATTTTGTTTTGTCTTTACATTTTCATGCAATTCAATATGGTTTTAATAATGTAGGATTTTATCTTTCTGTATTTTATTACTTCTGTATGCTTGCTAGTAAATAGGGCATGTATGACAAGATAAAAACAACAAGTAGACAACCCCTAATCAAAGACAAAATGCATGCAATCAAAGACACTTTGCATACATGCACCTCTAGGGTAATCTCACTTGTTGCCTCAGAAAATAGTCATGTCCCTCGAATATGGGCGTTTTAGCAAAGATCCTCTATAAAAGATCGTAGTCCCTCGATGACCCTCAATGTTGCCTTCGGTAAATGATCTAGTCCCTAAACGACATTGCTAAAACGTCTCATAGGTTACCTTCTATGACTATACAAATGACCCACGCCCGTCCCTTCACATCCAACGATGGGGCTTCTTACCAAATCAATGGTAAGATAGCAACATCTAAAGGAGGGGGAAAACAACATTAGACCTTTTGAGTAGGTAGGATGTTCATAGTTGCTTGCTTGCTCACAACAAAAACATTTTACACCAACACTTTCAAATTAAAACATTTTCAAAAGACAAAGCTCTTCGTACATATTCTTATAGAGACGAGAATCATTACAAAGACACTTTTCAAAATCCCTTTCAAAAACATCTTCCACAAACACCTTTTTGAACTATTTTCAAAAACTAACACTTTGTACGCGTTCTTATAGAGACGTGAACCATTACAAAGATGTTTTTTCTAAATATTTTCAAACCCACACCACAAGCACATTTCTAAACAAAAGCAAGTGATCTAGCAAGAAACTAAGAGCCCGTAGATAACTACGGGTGAAAAGGGTGATAATATCTTCCCTTTTCATGACCTATCCCTCGAACTCAAGAAATAATCTCGAAAGGTCTTTCCTGTTCTTTTCAACCTTTCCATATTGGATAATAGAAAAGTCGGTGGAGACTCTTGCTATCCGCAACAATTGCGATCAAGTGCAAAACATCCAAGTCAGTTCTCCCATCGTATTACACACACCCCGCATGACTTCTCAGGCTTCTTGATTGTAGGAATTCCATGTACCAACTTCTTTGATTTTAGATGTCCTAAGATTCTAAAATTTAGATGACCAAATCTTCTGTGCCACAACTCACTCTCCTTGACAACACTTGTTGCACTAAGACATTCAGAGTCTGCAGTTCTAACATTCACTTTGAATATTCTATTCATTCCCTATTCTGACTCCATAATCAGCTTCTGATAAAAGTCATACAGCTTCAGAAGATTATCCTTCATTGTAATTAAAAAAACTTTCTCAATCAGTTGTCCCACACTCATCAGATTTCTTTTCATGCCAGGTACATACCATACATTCTGGATCATTGTTGCTTTCCCATTGTTTAGAATGACTCTGGCATTTCCCATACCTTCTGCAGTGAGGTATTTATCATCAGCACATCTAATCTTTATACTCTTCCTAGAGTCAAAATCAACCAACCATTTCTTATTTCCAGTAAGATGGTTTGAACACTCTGTGTCCATATACCATCATTCTGATGAATTCATATCATCAGGTTCAAAAGCCAATAATAGCACTCGTTTATCACCAGACTCTCATCTGGCTATATTTGCTTCTTTTGACTTCCTTTCTTTGTTTGACAGACAATCTTTGGCATAGTGACCAAAGTTCTTGCAACAGTAACACTGAACATCCTCCTTGTCAAACTTCTCCTTTCCCTTCTGGAAATTCTTCTGCCTATCAGAGGTTGAAGCTTTTGACCTCTGACCATTATTAGTTTTCTTTCTGGCTTCTGACCAAGTTTTCTTCTGATACTTCTTACCAGAAGTTGCTTTTAGAGCCTGCTGCTCTACTTCCCTCTCAAAAGTTCTCTCAGTCATATGCAACTCATGCGCCTCTAGACTACTTTGTAGCTCTTCAACTCTCATGGTGCTCAAATATTTGGAATGTCCAATTGCTACCACAATGTAATCAAACTGAGAAGTCAAAGATCTCAATACCTTCTCTATAATTACTTGTTCATAAAGGGTTTCTCCACAAGTTTTCACCTCATTAGTGATCAGAATCACTCTAGAGATGTACTCAGAAACCTTGTCGTTGTCCTTCATGTTGATATTCTCATATTGCTTTCTTAAGGACTGAAGCTTCACCTTCTTCATTGATGCGTCACCACTGTAACATTTGACCAATGTGTCCCACATAGCCTTTATTGTTTCAGAGTCAGCAATCTTCTCAAACATATTTACATCCACACATTGATGGATGTAGAACAATGTTTTCTGATCTTTCTTCCTTATCTCCTTCTGCGTTGTCTTCTATTCCTCCATCGCGTTTGCTGCTAATGAAACATAGCCATCGGTGAAAAGATATAACACATCTTGAGAATTGAATAACACACACATCTGGATCTTCCAACGATTCCATTTTTTGCCATCAAACACTGGAAGTTTGGAACTGATATCGCTGTTTCCGTTCATCTTTAACTTTGTGTAGTTCACTCAAAAATTCACTAACACACTGTGTTTCCCAAATCCCATAGAATCAGAAAAAATATGATTCTCAATCACACAATACCTCACTGTTTATTCGTGTTTCACCGTGGATTTTGAACCAAAGCTCTGATACCAATTGTTGGTGCATAAAGGAGAGATGAAAAACAAAAGGAATATATTGAATGACGGCTACAAAATAAGGAGTAATTGATACATTGACCTACCTACTACTAGGCTATTTATACACAATATTAGGGTATAATAAAATACTAAAATACCCTCTAACAGACTTAGTCAATAAGACATTTCTAAAATATAAATTATTTCCAACATATATGATACACGTGTTGGATTCATCATACGTGTAAGTAAGATCTTGAGGTCAAGGCGTGATGGGTCTGTTATTAGACGAGATCTTGCTTGTAAGAAAAAAGGTTTTAGAATGCCTGACAAGTGGGAAAAGATTGTAAGGCAGAGGGCAGAAACAAAAGTTGGTTGCAGGGCAATGATTATGGTGAGGAAATTAAATACTGGTTTGTGGTCTATAACAAAGTTTGTAAAGGAGCACACACATCCTCTGACACCTGGAAAAGGCAGAAGGGACTTTGTTTATGAGCAATATTCGGTTAGTTCAGGTTCTTTCATTATTGATAGGTGGTATATAAGTATATATGGTTATGATATTTATTATATGTATCGATACTTTATACTTAATGGATTAGATTGTTACTCATGAAGAGCCACTAACTATTTATCAGGCTCATCAATGTAGTTTGAACTCTGAAACCGTTATGATGAGTAACTTGAGAAATCCACATATCATGTCTTTGTCGCTGCCCCTTTTCAGTTTTCCCTACACTTATTATATCTTTGTTTTTATGGAATTTATAGAGTGAACATGACAGAGTCCGAGAACTCCTTCAGCAGTTGGCTCTAAAGAAAGCATGGAATATCTAATGAAGCAAAAATAAAAGATATAATTGGTTGAGAGACTTAAAGTTGTTGGTTCGGCATGTACCATTATCTCCGGTAATTTTGTTGTGGTTTGTATTTAATATTATTCTGAAATATTAATGTACTCAATTGTATCTATTCTTCGGCGAAGGTCTTCAGTTTGTTACTAAATTATGTTGCAGAATTTAGTAATTAGTTATAATTGTTCAAACTACATTTGCATAATTACACACATTGTATAACTACTGATCTTTTCTACATGCATACAATTTTTCTAGAGACCACAAGCCTGATCTTGAGATTGAGAAGGAAAGAATTTCAAAAGTTGGTGGTTTTATTCATGCAGGAAGAGTAAATGGCAGTTTAAACCTTACAAGAGCTATAGGTAACCTACCTATGAGATTGTTGTTAACTTTTTTAAGGGGTGAGACTGGGTACAAAATTTACATTCTTTAATAAATTTCAATTTACTGCAGGTGACATGGAATTTAAACAGAACAAATTTCTTTATGCTGAACAAGTTGTAACTGCCAATCCAGATATTAACACTGTAAGTTTGTCACTGATGCAATTCAACTAACAACCTCATTGATTCACATATATTTCACATTTCCTATTTTCTCTATGGTATAACCCATAATAATTTCATATGTTATGACTTATATTGTACTCTAAAATTTTCCCTCTCATTTATCAAATATTTCTTCACAAAGACCTCTCTTGGTCCAAGACTGTACTAGGGTTTGATCAGCTCAAGACACCTCCTCAAGCACTGATGACCAAAATTAGGGTTTGAGATTGCACAAGGATAATTGAACTTTCAATGCTTCATATGACTTTTACGGATCATTATGGACCCCCCAAGATTATTCATGTCAAGTTTCAAGCCTTGGATCACACTTTTGCTCAGTCAATTGAGCAGTTGACCTAAAAATCAGTTGTATTGGGGAAAAAGTCAACTATGGCCATTTTACACTCAAACTTCATAATTTTTTATCCACGTCAACATTATAAACTCATATATATCATTTGATCAAATTTGGACCATAATTTCCCAAGAAATTTGATCAAATCATCAAAAGGGCAAAATGGTCAAAATTAGGGTTTTGACTGAGAAAGGGCAATTTCTGATTTTTGACCTAGCAAATGGTCAATTGGTTTGAAGCATGATTTTAAGAGTTAAATTGAATCATTTTGACCTAATGGCATGACCTAAAACATTTCTCAAGATCAATTGGACTGGTAGTGAATTTTCAGTCAACTGATCAAAAAGTCAACTCTACACTGAAAAGTCAAACTTTGACTTTTTGGTCAAAGTTCAATGTCAAAGATCACAATTCATAAAAACATTTCAAAATATGAAACTTATTCATCAAGAAATCAAAAAGTCAAGATTTCATTTTGAAAAGTCAAAGTTTTCTAACTTAGAAATTTTTCTAAGTGTTTAAACTTCATGTTTTTTTCATAACTTTGGGCCAATTTTTCACCATGATGCAAGAGGATTCAGAAGAAACTTTCAACATGAAAGTTGTATATATCCATGATATCTACAACATTACTTTACACAACTTCTCCTAAAAATTCTTGGATCTTAAGTTATTAATTTCTAAAGTCATGGTTTTGAAATTGGACACTTAGTGAAATTTTGCCCTAGTTTTGGTCAGGATTTTGACCTAACTTCATGGCACTTTTTCATATAGTTCCAAGGGGAATTTTCAAAAGTGATTTAAAGAGGGGTTGTATAGAACATTGCAAGCTTTCAAAAATGTCCAAGAACTTCTTGAGATCATTCTTGAGCAGGGAGAATCGAAGAGATGAAGTTAGGGTTTTCACACTTGAAATACAAGTCATTTTGTGATGAACAAGATTCAAATTTCAAACCTATGCTACATAATCTCTATTTTACAGGCCTGAAACTTGTTAGGAACTCCATAATTAATTGCTTGTACAACTGTTAGAGGTCTCAATTCAAGCATTCAATGCAAGGCCATGCTTTATATCCATTTTGGGAAGAAAGTGCACAATGCCATTTTGATAAAGTAGCTTTTTGCACAAAACTTGTTCTTGAGCCTTGCAATTGTTTTCTTCTGATCATACATGTCCCATAACTCAAGAGAAGCTTGTCTAAACACTTACAATCACTCAGTCCATGCTTGTACTTCCTCTTGAAACCATACTTCCCACTTTTCTTCAAAATCAAGTAACATAGCAATCAGTCTAGAACTTGTACTTATGACCCTCTCAAGCACTCAAGCCTTTTGCTTATACATACACAAGTAATTTGTCACAAAACACATGCATGCTTGCGCCCTGAAAACACCAAGAACTTAGATTTGCATCTCACACCTCCATTGTTGCATATTCTGGCCAGAAATCCCAAAACCAAAAACTACTCGTGCGTTTCTTGGCTTCTTGCTTTCAAAAGCTTCCAAGCATCATACACAAACAATCCCATACCCTGTTACAGTTCTGTAACACCATCTTCCTCCATTTCCAAGTTCAAAAACAGAGCACTGCAAGTGAACTTCCCCAGACCATTTCAGCCATTCTCCAACCAAGCTAATCATTGCATTAGCTTCCTGGGACCTCAGTGGAGCTATTCTGATCATCACAACACCTTGATGAGTGCTTAAACTCAAAATACGATTTCCAGTTTTGAGGTAAGTTTCCTTAAATTTGAACTCTTCATACAAGAATCATTAATGGTTTATTTGTGAATGAAAAATGTAGATATCATTGCCCTAAAGCTAATCATGTCCATAGTTTTCATTTATGTTGCATGAGCTTAGAGAATTTTAAGATTGAAGTTTCTGAAATTTTTAGGGTTCAGATTAGGACCATTAAAATTCATGCTTGTCTTTGATCTATAATTTTATTGCTTTACATTTCTGAAATCGTGAGGAAATTTTCCACAAGATTCATGTTTACACTTTTGCAAATGGATGATAAATGAATAAGATGCAGGTACTCTGGCTGGGCGTGAGGTTGAAGATGAAGTTCAGGTCATGGACTTGATTTCTAATATATATTCATTGTTTTGTTTATATAAACGGATGTATAGCCACCCCAGTGGTAAAACGCGCGCTTGTTAATCTTTGGAACCTGAGTTCGAGCCCCAGTGGTACCCTTTTGCTTATTTTCTCATTTCTCTCACATTTTTATGCTTGTTTGCAGCGCTGGGCCCCCTGTGTTGGGCCTAGCATTTTTGCTCATTTCATACTCCCTGCTCACTATTCACACCCCTGGCCCATTTTATTTTCCATTTTCATTTTTATTTATTTATTTGTTTTCTTTAAAAAAATTATTTAATATTAAAAAAAATTAGAAAAAATATAAAAACATTAGATTTATATTTTGATATAGTTTATTTATTTTTACAATAAAAATTATTTTTATTTAATCATACTTTATCTATTTTACTAATTAATTTGTAAATTTAATTAGAAACCAGGGTTTTAATTATTTCTTTTACAATTAAAAAATATTCTTTTAAAAACCAAAAAGACCAAAAATATTTTACCATATATTATTTTCAAGACAAAAAAAAGACATTAAAAATATTTTTCTTACAAACTTAATTTCTCTTTCTTTCTTAATTAATTAATATTTAGATTAAGGTTTTTATTTAATTTTCTTTTCCTAATTAATTTAGATTTACTTTTACTAATTTAACTAATTATTTGCTTTTAGTTAATTAAGTTAAAACCAAACCCTTTCCGGAAAAAAATCCAAACAAAAATTCATTTTTCTTTCCATTTACACTCTTATATATTTATTCATTTTTGTACATTATTTATTCAAATTCAATATGGTTATAATAGATAATTAGGTTTATTTTCTTGCAATCCCCATTTGTAATTTGTACACCCCCTCCCACAAGTATTGTAATAGCGTAGTAATTTTAAATTCCGCAATTTATCGCTTTATATACAAATGCTAGTAATTAGGGTTTTGTATAGGAAGACTAAAACCAATCAATTAGAAAACCCTAATCAAAGATAAAACCAAGCATGAAAAACAATACACTTGCACACAAGCACTCCTAGGGTAAAATCCACTTGGTTGTCTTACAAAATGGCCATGTTATGCATGTGAGGTATCTTAGCAAAAACAAGCAAAATACAAGATCATAGTCCCTCGATGACGCTATCAAAAGTTGTCTTTCAAAAATTATCTTAGTCCCTAAAGAGAATGCTAAGATACCTTGCAACATTGCTAATCATGGCTATACGATGACCCATACCCGTCCCGTTTACATCCAAAGATAGGGTTGCTTACCAAATCAATGGTAAGATAACAATGTCAAAGGAAAGAGAAAATAAACAAGAAAGACTTTTGAGTAGGTAGAATGTTCATAGTTACTTGCTCAATTTCAAAACCAAAATATCCTTGCTATTTTCAAAATAAACACCAAACACTTTCAAAACATCTTTCAAAACTTGAAAATATTTTTAAAAGATCAACACTTTGTATACATTCTTACGAACGAGAATCATTGCAAAGTTTGCCTAAACGATTACGTCTTTTCAAAATACTTTCAAAAACAACACAAAGCCCATTTTCAAACAAAAGTAAGTGATCTAGCAAGTAACTAAGAGCCCATGGAAAACCATGGATGAAAATGGTGCTAATACCTTCCCTTTTCATAATCTATCCCCTGAACTCAAGAAATAATCTCAAAGGTCTTTCCTGTGCTTTTTCATATTTCCTTTTGGATAAAAGAAAAGTCGGTGGTGACTCTTGCTAACTGAAACATTTACGATAAAACACAAAACACCCAAGTCAGTTCTCCCACCGCATCACAACTTATGATTGACAATATTTGCTATGATATTATTAATATAGGTTGAGCTTTCTGATGAAGATGAATTTATAGTTCTAGCTTGTGATGGAATATGGTACTCTTCTTATGCTTTATATGTCCATTTGATTATGAACATTGTGATCTATCTGAGAGATCAATAATTTTCTCAATAAAATATTATATGTTAAAATATTGTTTACACTTGGTTTGATTTTAAAATAGTTTGGTTGCACATGCCCCTTCATACTTTCTTGCTCTGATTGCTTAAAATCTTCACATGGTTCTAACGGTTTTGCAGCCCTGTAATGTTCAACATTCACATGGATTTTGCTCTCCGAATAGGATGATTGAGACGTCTCATCAACAGTGCTTTGCAATGTCAAGTCTCTAGACAAATCAGACCTAACAATATTTTTACTTGAAGTATCATCATGTTCAGAGCTATGGGTTGTTTCTTCCGAGTAGGCCATCTTCCCTTTTTCAGCATGAGGTTTTGCATCTAAGGAAATGGATTGGGATGCAAAACCATTGTTTTCTGCTTTAACATGACTCCTTGAAGCTTCTTTGGCATATGTAGTTGAAGTTGCACCATCATGACTAACAAATATCGAGTCTGCACGATTTTCTAAGCTATGAGGCATCACAGGCATAGGTGGAGACCTATTCTGAAACACATAATGCCTAGCTGCATCAGGTATTTCCCTCCGGTTACTTGGATCATTTATTCGCTTAAAAAGGTACCTATCCTTTTTTGGATTATCTTTAAATTTAATAGATTTGGCATGGCTTTTCCCACGATCCAAAGTTTCTGCTATCACCAAGGGGCCAGTCAAAGGAGCTGGAAAAAAGAAGGAAAATGTATCATTAATATATGAAGTTGATTTTGAGTAAATGGAAAAACAACAATGTTATTTTACACATGAATTTCCTTGAGGGTTTTACTTGCTGAATAATTACTTTCTATTATGTTAATATATTCAGTAATGTTATTTTAGATTATTATCATTTCCCTTCAATGGCCATTATTCTCAAAATGTACCTTTGGTGTGCAATGGGTTAGGAGATGTGTTTAGGTGCAGCAGGGACTGCTTGGCCTGCCTTCAAATGGACGATAACTTAAGGTCTATTATCTCCCTTTCTTGAGTTGCTTCCTTGTCTTGGTGCAGCAGATAAACACATAAGATTTATGACATGAACTATTATTAGCGTTGTTGTTCGAACTGTTGGAAATCCACCAAATTTTATGATGAATTTCTACCACAATGACAATTTAATTATGAGACAAACAAAGAAAAGAAGACAAGACAAATAATTTCTGCAGAGTTTCTCTCTGCTCACAAACTGTGAAAACTTTCTTATTCACTTTGCAACTGCAAAATACTGTGAATGACTTGCTTGACTTGCTTACAAAAATAGGGGTTACTCCCTCTATTTATAACTGAGCTTACATCTTAAGCCCAAAGCCCAAAATATCTTTTTGTTACTAAATCAAATCTAATTTATTCTAGACTTAAATTAAATCTATTTAAATCTAAAACAAATCAAATCTTTTCGACACATAGTTTCGACACATTGGATTACAATTTAACACACCACCTAATTCATTGTGTCTAAACTATCTATGTTCATAATGGCTCTTAGCTTTCTGAATACTTCGACTTGCACTCCCTTCGTCATGATGTCTGCAATCTGATTTTCAGTTCTGCAGTGTTCCAAATTCATCTTCCCATCTGCTACCTGCTCTCGAAGATAATGGAACCTCATTTCGATGTGCTTACTTCGACCATGTGCTATTGGGTTCTTCGCCAGATTAATAGCTGACATGCTGTCTATCTTCATGGTAATTGCTCCATGATTTTTTTCTGTTATCTCTTCGACCAAGTTCACCATCCAAGTTGCTTGACATGCACAAAGAGAAGCAGCTATGTATTCTGCTTTGCATGATGATAATTCCACTACTGGTTCCTTTCTTGAATTCCAAGCAACTGGTGCACCACCTAGCATAAACACATATCCTGCTGTTGACTTTCGATCTTCAGAATCACTACACCAACTCGAATCAGTGTATCCCACTAACTTTCATTCTTTTCCTTTATCAACTGCAGGAAACAAAATGCCATAATCAAAAGTTCCTTTCAGATACCTCAGTATCCTCTTCGCTGCTGCTAGATGTGATACCTTTGGCTTCTGCATGAATCTACTTACCATACCTACACTATATGCTAAGTCAGCTCTTGTATGACAAAGGTATCTCAATGATCCAATAATTCTTCTGTATTGGGTTGGATCAACATCATCTTCATTTGCATCTTTCGACAGTTGCAGTCTTGGTTCTGCAGGTGTCGAAGTTGAGTTGCATTCTTCCATCTCAAACCTCTTGAGAATTTCTCCTGCATATCTTCTTTGATGCATCATCAAACCTCTACTGCTCTTATAGAATTCGATACCAAGAAAATATGAAATCTCACCCAAATCAGACATTTCGAATTCCTTGCTGAGATCACCTTTGAAGTCTTCGATCTCACTTTTACAGCTACATGTTATCAACAAATCATCTACATAGAGACATAGTATAAGCAATTTACTCTTGCTTTTTCTTACATATACTCCATGTTCAGTTGTGCACTTCACAAATTCCTTCTCCCTTAGAAAACTATCAATTTTCTTATTCCAAACCCTTGGAGATTGTTTCAATCCATACATGGCTTTATGTAGCCTATACACCTTTCTTTCTTCGTCATGTTTCACAAACCCAACTGGTTGTTTAACATAGACTTCTTCATCTAAGGGTCCATTTAGGAATGCACACTTCACGTCCATCTGACATATGTGTCAATTGTTTATTTCTGCTAGACCAACAACCGATCTGATTGTTTCAATCCTAGCAACAGGTGCAAAAACTTCATCGAAGTCTATTCCTTCTTTATGTAGAAATCCTTTCGCCACAAGTCTTGCTTTGTGTCGAGTTACTTCACCTTTCGAATTCGTTTTCACTTTGTATACCCACTTGACATCAATTGCCTTCTTGCCTTGAGGCAATTCGACAAGTGACCAAGTGTTGTTGTCTTTGATAGGCTTTACTTCTTCGTTCATTGCTTTCACCCACTTCGAATCCTTTAATGCTTCAGTTGCATTAACAGGTTCGACATCTGCATAGAAAGCATAATGTACCAGCTCACCTTCATTATCTATTACATCATCTGATGTAATCACACAATTTTGCAATCTTGCAGGCATGCGTCTTGTTCTTTGAGGCCTGCTTGTACTTGGTATATCTGTTGGTTCCTCTTGTCGAACTTCTCTTTCGACTTGAGTTTCTGGCTCTTCAAGAAGGATTCCCACTGAATCTTTCTTGATATTTTCAGTCCAATCCCATTCTTTAAACTCATTTATGATCATGTCTCTGCTGATCATAATCTGCTTTTTCACTGTATCGAACAACTTGTAGCCTCCCGTCGAATGATATCCAACTAGAATCATTTGACATGACTTATCTTCAAGTTTTCTTCTCAACTGATCTGGCACATGTCTATGTGAAATAGATCCAAATACCTTCAGATGACTCAAGCTAGGCTTCACACCAGACCAACATTCTTCTAGAGTAATTCTTTCTAGCTTCTTTGTAGGACATCTGTTCAAAATGTATGTTGCAGTCGAAACAGCTTCACCCCAAAACTCTTTAGGTAAATTCTTGCCTTTCAACATACTTCTCACCATATTCATGATGGTTCGATTTTTCCTTTCTGCAATTCCATTTTGTTGTGGAGTATAGGATGACACCACCTCATGCACAATCCCTTCCTTTTCACATAATCTGTCGAAGTCTTTCGACACATATTCTCCACCACCATCAATTCTCAAAACTTTAAGCTTTCGACCACTTTGTCTTTCGACCATAGACTTAAACTTGGTAAATACTTCGATCACTTCACTTTTATTCTTGATCAGGTAAGTCCATAGCTTTCGACTGAAATCATCTATAAATGTAACAAAGTATTTGTTACCTCCCATCGAATCCACCTGGATTGGTCCACATACATCAGAGTATATGACTTCAAGACTAGCCTTCGACCTGCTTCCTGCATCCTTGCTGAAGCTATTCTTGTGTTGCTTCTCCTGCACACATTCCTCACATACCTCGTTTTGAATGTCAATTTCTGGCAATCCTGAAACCATATTTCTTCTCTTCAAATCTCTGATGTCTCTGAAGTTGAGATGACCTAGTCTATAATGCCATATCCATTCATCTCTACTAGCTGCAGTCGAAAGGCACTTGTGTTCCATCACATTTAGTTCAATCTTGAAGGTTCGATTCTGAGACATAGGAGCCTTCAAGATTAATCTCCCATTTGCATCAACGACTCTCATCATCTTATCTTCGATTGACACTTTATAATTCTTTTCGACCAACTGCCCTATACTGAGCAAATTGCTCTTCATGTCTGGTATGTACAATACATTGGAAATTACTGACCTCTTGCCATCTTTCCTCATGATCATAACATCACCAATACCTTCAGCCGCTAGGGTATTGTCATTTGCAAATTTTACCATATTTTTCATTGAGGATTTTATATTGACGAACCAGTCTTTCCTTCCAGACATATGTGATGAACATCCTGAATCCAAGTACCATTGGTCCTTGAATCTATCTTCATCTCTTGCTGTGACCATCAGCATCATCTCTTCTTCTTCTTCTTCTTCATGTTTTGCAAGCTTTGCATCACTTTCTTGATTCTTTCATTTTTCTGGATAATCACTCGCATAGTGTCCATACTTCTGACAATTGTAACATTAAATGTGACTCTTATCAGGTTTTCGACCACCACCTCTTCCTCTATGCAACACCACCTCTTTGGTTACCTTGGTATGGTCTTCTTTGATTCGACACGTTTCCTTCAATCTGGTTTCCTCTACCATTCGATTTGTTGTAGCCACCTCTACCTCTGTCGAAACACTTTCCTTTGCCTTTGGTCTCTTTTGCTGAATGTGCCTGCAAGGCCACATCACTCTTCGATTTTCCTGCAGCTCTTTTGTTCATTCTTTGTTCATGAGATTCAAGCGTCCCTTGAAGCTCTTCCTTTGTCAATTTCGACAAGTCTTTCCCCTCTTCTATCGCCACCACTATGTGGTCGAACTTAGGAGCTAAAGATCTCAAGATCTTCGACACAACAGCTCTTGTTGTTAACGTTTCTCCACATATCTTGATTTGATTTACTAGTTTTGTAACTCTAGTGAAGAAATCAAATATGCTTTCACTGTCTTCCATCTGAAGCAGTTCGTAGGTCCTTTTGTGAGTTTGTAACCTCACTTCTTTCACTTTCTCAGCGCCTCCAAAAGACTTCTCAAGGATTTCCCAAGCTTCTTTTGCAGATTCTGAATCACTAACCTTTTCGAAATTGTCTGGGCTGACACATTGATGAATTATAAATAATGCTTTATAACTCAGCTTCTCAGATTCTATGTATTTCTTCTTTTCTTCTTCTGAAGCGTTTTCTCCAAGCGCTTCGACTCCATCTTTTACAAGGTCCCAAAGACCTTGACACCTGAATAAGACTTTCATCTGTTTGCATCAATTCTCATAGTTATCAACTTTCAGAATTGGTAGGGTTGCTGGATAATTTGCATTCCCATAACTTGTCATCGTGAATTCTTCAATCGTTCTTGATTGACACTTCCCTTGAATCGAAACAAAGCTCTTGATACCAGATGTTGGAAATCCACCAAATTCTATGATGAATTTCTACCACAATGACAATTTAATTATGAGACAAACAAAGAAAAGAAGATAAGACAAATAATTTCTGCAGAGTTTCTCCCTGCTCACAAACTGTGAAAACTTTCTTATTCACTTTACAACTGCAAAATATTGTGAATGACTTGCTTACAAAAATAGGGGTTACTCTCTCTATTTATAACTGAGCTTACACCATAAGCCCAAAGTCCAAAATATCTTTTTGTTACTAAATCAAATCTAATTTATTCTAGATTTAAATCAAATCTATTTAAATCTAAAACAAATCAAATCTTTTTGACACATAGTTTCGACACATAATTTCAACACATTGTATTACAATTTAACACGAATCGGAGGCGTTTCACAGGGTCTGATATGAGAAATAGTATGATAGAAAACTGACATTGATATCTAAATATTTAAATCCTTAATTCCTTATATGATGCAGCGATTTGGTCGAGTTCCAGCATTTGAACATGGAGATTTAAAGCTCTTTGGTAAGTTTAATATGAATATGATGTATGAAACCCAACATTTTAGATTAAAGTTGTGTGTGATGTTGGACAATGGCGAAAATTCGTTAGAGGATCCTTGTCGGTGATTACGAAAAACATGTTCTACTGTGATTACAAAACCTCATGATATAATATGTTACGTTGTAATTTTTTTCCCTAAGTTACTCCACATAATGTATTCTTCTGATATAATATCCTGACATGATATTCCACATGTGTAATATTTATGCAGAAACCTCCATATAGAATATTCTCTGATATGAATTTCTCAAAAGTATCTCAGTAGCGATGATTTCTCTAAATTCATGATCTGGAATTTTGATTCATGATTTGGTTAATGGTATTGCTTTGAGTGAGATTCAGTGACAGTTTTAATGGAAAATTGTATGAGTTTGAGTGTCTACATGATCTGTTGATTGATGAGTGTCATTTGTGAATCAATTGAATTTGGTGAAAGTAAGTGTAGATATAAGCAGTAGTGTCGATTTCAACTTTTTTTTAATCCTTTATTTGTTTGTAGGATACAAATGGAAGCATTCTAAATAAAAACCCCACAGTTGTGTTTGTGCTATGTAAACAATGGTAATTGCATTCAAGTCAACTAATTTCCTTAGTCATCTTCCTTCTGAATAACCTTTTGTAAAATCCTATCCATTTAACCTTCAATTGCTTCAATTTAAGCAACCAAAATGCAGAAAACCAACCTAAAAACTGGTAACTCTCCAAACATGTAACTCATGTCTTGATTATGAGAAAACAGTAATTCTCGAAATTTCAAAAATGAGTTTGTTCAACCTAATTTCTTCACCACGATCCATTTAACTATTTGTTTCATGAAGAAATCAAACCCATGATTGAAATAAAATTGTAAGATATAAAAGAAATGCATTGTAAATTTAAAGTTTAATCGGGGTATGCAATGCTAAATATCACTCACTCTGTTTAAAAATAACTGTCATATTAACAAATAAAATTTATTTTAAATTAATTTTAATTCTCATTTTTTAATGTATAATGATTACTATTTTTTCAATTGTGTCATTTAATTATTACATTGTACACTACTTCTAATACTTTGATAATACTAATTTAGTAAAAATGTAATATCTTATGAATACATTATTGCTTTCCTTAATTCTTTTGTAAAAACCTTTAATCACACTTATATTAATAATGTACTAGTAAAAATGTAATGTTTTATGTACATGCTTTCTAAAAACCTTAATACATGAGTGCATAGTAATCCAATAATCATAATAATAAACAACAAGAAAAACAATGATATTGATATTGAGACTGTAGATCTTGTTCCTAGGATCTAGAAGAATATATGAGATGTTAGAGTAGGTAAAAAGAAGAAATGAAATATCTTATGATGCACTTGAATGAAGAGCTACTAATGAAGCATAAACCCCATCAGTGATCTTCATCAACACGTCATGTCTTCCCTTTTCAGCAACTACTCCATTTTTAATCACTGCTATAGTATCCGCTCCTCGAATCGTTGTAAGACGGTGAGCAACCACCACAGTAGTTCTATTCACACTCACTTTGTCTAGAGCCTCTTGAACTATACGCTCTGACTCGGCGTCAAGTGCACTTGTGGCTTCATCAAGCAGAAGTATTTTCGGGTTTTTCAGCATTGCTCTTGCAATGGCAATGCGTTGCTTTTGTCCACCTGATAACTGTCTGCCTCTTTCGCCGACTGATGTATTGTAACCATTTGGAAGAGAACTTATGAAGCTGTGTGCATTGGCTGCTTTAGCTGCTACAATGATCTCGTCTTCTGTAGCATGTCCTTCTTTGCCATAAGCTATGTTGGCGCAAATGCTTTCGTTGAAGAGAATCGGCTCTTGACCGACTAAACCCATTTGTTGCCTCAGCCAGCTTAATCTGAAAGTTTTGATGTCCACTCCGTCTAGTAATACATGTCCTGAGTCCAGGTTATAAAATCGCTCTAAGAGGCTTATAACTGTTGATTTTCCGCTGCCACTTTCTCCAACCAAGGCAACAGTCTGCAGAAAAATATATGAACAATCATCTAGAATGAGTTTTTTTTTCAACTTGTTAATTACGATATCGTTAAAGTAATGTTTACCTTTCCGGCGGGGATATTTAGACATAAATCTTTGAAAATTTGAATGTGAGGCCTTGTCGGGTAATTGAAGCAGACATGTTGAAGTTCGATATCACCTGTAACTGTTTCTGATGTTTCGCCTGCATTGCTACTAGAGTCAATTGTAGGTTTACTGTCTAGAATTTTGAATATTGAAGCGGCAGAATCTTTCGCCTTATTAGTGTCTGGTGCCAAAGTACTAGACTGAGAAATGCCAACTGCTGTTATAGTTAAACTGAAGAAAACCTGCATGAAATCTCTCATGAGAATGTCGAAAGAAGCATCGAGTAAATAGCATTGAGTAAATATGTTGCGAATATTAAGTTGATTTATTGATTGGTGTTGTACCTTGAAAACCTCTTGAAAAGTGGCTTTATCATGCTGCACTAGAACAGCTCCTATGTAGAAGCAAAAAGCAGTCATGCAATATAGAGCCACAAAAGAGAAGCCGAATCCTGCGCCACTTACAAGCCCCGAACGAACACCTTGTTTTTCTGGCCCTGAACATTTCTTTCGATACATATCCATAACCTTTGATTCTGCGCAAAATGATGCAACAGTTCGGATGCTACTAACAGCGTCATTTGCCACTTGACTTGCCTGTTCATACATCACCTACATAGATAAAGGGGAAAAAAAGAGTCATGATTTACACAATTTATAACCCTCTAATGGACGAAACCAAAAGTAATGCAAACCTTGGCATCTCCGCTGAATCCTTCGAGAAACTTCATCTGAATGATTCCTTGCACGAGAACCACTGGTGACACAGCCAAAACTATAAAAGCGAGAATCCAATTAGCAGTGAATGCTACAACCAGACCAGCTGTGATTGTTGATATGTTTTGCACAATAAGAGCCAATGTGTCACCAACAAGACTTTTCACAGTTGAAGCATCGGTCGATAGTCTTGCACCAACTGCACCACTGTCAGGTGATTCATTTCTTTCATCAGTTTGATTACTCAACAGTAACGTATCTTTATTTTGACTTGAACCATAACAAAAAAAGAAGCATTTTAACATACCTTGAATTTGCAGGGTCATCGAACCAACTTATTTCTTGGTGCACAACCTTTGCAAATGTCAGCGAACGGATTCTTTCTACAAGCTTTCCACCAGCAATCCCAAAGAAGTAATTCTGAAGTGGTAAAACTACTAGAGTAACCAAACCCAAACCGACGTATAGAAGTGCCCAGAGCCTAGCTTCTTTCTTCTGTTGTTCTGGAGGTTCGTAAAACATACTAATGGCCGATGAAAACACTAGGCCAAATACAGGGAACACTACACCGTTCACTATTGCAGCAATGGATCCGAGCAGTAAGACGGGAATCTCAGGTTTGTTCAAGTAGGCCAAACGTCTTATAGAAACATTTTTCTGTTTCTTCTTGTTATTATTATTATCAACTCGACCTTCTTCAATATCTGGTTCATCGATTTGTACACCAATTTGGGAGATTCTCCCTGATGATCTTTGGCTTGTTGACATCACAAGGGAATTCTTTCGGGTGGAAGATATAGACATGTCTCTATTTAACATGTGACTTGACTTATCTGCTTCAGAATTTTGGCTTTCTTTTTCTCCTTCTTGTAGACGAATAAGCTGAGAATAAGCACCATCTGCATCCTTGATTAGCTCATCATGAGCTCCTATGTAAAAAGAAAGCAAGCAAAAGTGAATACACTTATGCTGTTACAAAAATCAAAAACTTATATATAGATATCAAATATAACCTTTCTCCACGATTTTTCCCTGATGAACCACTGCTATTGTGTCCGCATTTCTGATAGTTGTTAAACGATGCGCGACAACAACAGTAGTCCTTTTAAACATAATTTTTTCTAAAGCTTCTTGAACAATACGTTCAGACTCAGCATCCAACGCACTCGTTGCTTCATCAAGAAGCAGGATTCTCGGGTTCTTCAATATTGCTCTTGCAATTGCGATTCTTTGCTTTTGCCCGCCAGAAAGTTGAGTACCATTTTGTCCCGCCATGGTGTCAAGGCCCTGCAATCACAATTTCCACATCATTATCATTAATTTCAATCAAACATGATCAAAGTTTTCAATATTACACATGCCTGAGGCAGTTTGTCGATGAACTTTTTCGCATTAGCAAGTGTTATTGCCGCTGCTATCTCCTCATCAGTCGCACCTTCTTTCCCATACGCTATGTTCTCTCTGATAGTAGTAGTAAACAATATAGGCTCTTGACTAACCAACCCAATCTGATCCCTTATCCATTTAAGTTGCAAGTTCTTCAAATTCACACCATCTATAAGTACTTCTCCAGCATCAGGATCATAGAATCTTTCCAATAAACTGATCACAGTAGACTTTCCACTTCCACTTTGACCCACCAAAGCAGTAGTTGTGCCACTTGGAACAAACAGTGAAAATCCAGCAAATATCTGCACGTCCGGCCTCGCAGGGTATCTGAAGTGAACATCTTTGAGTTCGATATCTCCCTTTATGTCCTCCAAGATTTCACCACTTGTGTCATATGCATCAATTTTCGGCTTTCTTTTAATCGTCTCAAACATTTTATACGCGGCTGCTTGTCCTGCAGTAAATGCATCTATGCATGGAGATGTCTGACCCAATGACCTGTAAATGAATGACATCTTATGCTCATTGAAGGTCTATAAAATTATCATGTCTAAAAGTTTATCGTTTTCGAATACAAATTTCACACTTACATTCCGCCAGTCATAAGAGCTATGATTACACTCATAACAGTTCCACCAGTATATCCCTTCTCAAGGACTAACATGGAACCATACCACATTGCAAGTCCATAGGTGCTAAACACAATCAATGAAAGTAACCCCATTCCAAATCCTGTCGCAGTTCCTTGTTGAACCGTACTCGTATAAGCAACTTTTAACTTACTATTATACTTTTCTATTGCTTTTTTCTCCCCGGTAAAAGACGCAACCTGGTCAATTTTACAAAACAAATGTCAGATACATCATAGTTCGATTGCAGGTAGCAGAATTGAACTAAACTGTTATAACTATGCTGCAAGTGTCTTACTGTTCTGATGGCTCCGACGGTTTGATCAACAACATTTCCTGCTTCTGTATAAGCAGCTTGTCCACGTGTCGACATTTTAGCCATGAGCATAGACATGACTCCACCAACAACAACAACACAAGGTACACATGCAAGCAAAACTAAAGCTAGTCTCCATCCTTTTATGAAAGCAACCACAAAGCCACCAAAAAATGATGTAGCAAGTTGAGTAAACTTCCCAACCTTTTCTCCCATTGCGTCTTGAATGAGAATTGTGTCACCAGACATTCTACCAATTACCTCTCCAGTGTTTGTTTCCGTGTCAAAGAACGCAATATCTTGTTTCAATATTGTTTTCAAGTACAAACTACGAATCCTCGCAGCTTGTCTTTCTCCTGTCACCATCCAACACGATACCTCTGCAGAATAAGCAGACCACAATTTAAAACCATTGATTAATAGTACACAGATGCAAGATAAGATAAAGGAAAGTATCAAAGTGTGGTGTGGTCTTACGTAAGAATGATACTATTCCAGTTCCAATAGCGAGGTAAACAAACAATAATGAAGCCTGAAATTTCATCAAGTGCATTAGTTTTTCTGCCGTAGAAACTTGTATATTACAAAATAGTTAAAAGGGTAGAAAAAAAGACCTTAGAAACTTCTTTGAGAGTATGGTGTGGATCAGTGTTACCAAAGGCGTTGATGATTCTGCCAAGGATAAGAGTCATGATAGGCTGTGACATTCCATTAGCAATGGCTGAGATATTGCCAATGATCATCAAACTCACATCAAGGCTATCTGCAAAAGTGAAGAGTTTGTAGAATGAAACTTTTTGGTTTGTTTTGCTATCTCTTCCATCATCATCAACCTCAGTATTCCGTGCCATGAATGCCTATAACCAATGTGAAATACTTTAATTTGTGATTTAGAGACAAGTGGGAATTTATATGACAATAATCATGAACATTTATTTATTCAAATATCAACTCAAATATTTTCATATATGGTATGGTATCTTATAAGATTCATTTTTACTAATATACAGTTAATTTTGAATAAAATAAATTATTTTGATTGAAATTAAATATTTATAATGATCTAACAGCTATAAATTGATTGGGAGGGTAAAAACTTTTTATAGCATTACCGTGGCAATTAACTTTAACCGTTGGATGATTGAAAATATTTAATTTTAATTATTATTACTTTTTTATGTTGCGCCTATGAAAGATTGACATTTATTAAAAAGGTTGTTGTGAATTCAATGCCAATAACAAAGTATAGAATTAGGGAGAAGAATAAAGAACAAGGAAGAAGAACACAAGAATTGGTTATAACTGCTATTCTTTTACTTTCTCTTAGGAAACAAGATTACAAGTTTACAAGAATAACAAATAACCCTCTCACCCTATATTAGGATTTGCTGTTATGCAATGATGAGAGACTAGTATGCTATTTATAATAAAACCTAACATACTAACTAATGGGCTTTTTTCCACAAGGCCCATTAAACAAGCTAACTTAATAATCAAGCTAACTTAACAAATTAGGGTTTAAACACTAAAACCTAATTTAACAAGCATCCTTCGACAAATACATGCTAGACCCTTCTTCGACTACAGCATGTACTTCGATCATACTAGAGTTCGATCCAAAATCCCACAAATCTCCACCTTGGACCTAACTCTACAGCATCAAGAGACACTAACTAGCTTTCTTCATGCAGCTTTATCAACTGCATACAGTGGAAAAACTTGCAACTTGGCAATGTTTTGGTGATCATATCAGCAGCATTGTGTTCTGTCGAGACCTTCAGCACTTGGACTTCTCCACGCTCGATTACCCCTCTGACGAAATGCAGCCTCACATCTATGTGCTTGGTTCGCTCATGATAGGCTGAGTTCTTCGACAGGTGTATTGCACTTTGACTATCACATTTAACAGTGATACCTTGACCTTGAAGTTTCAGTTCCTTTGCAAAACCTTCAAGCCACAATGCTTCTTTCACAGCTTCAGTTAGGGCAATATATTCTGCTTCAGTAGTTGATAAGGCAACAACCTTTTGAAGAGTTGCTTTCCAACTAATTGCTGTACCAAACATAGTGAAAACATATCCAGAAATAGATTTTCTGGAATCCATACAGCCTGCATAATCAGAGTCAACATAGCCTTCGACAGCTGCTTTACTATCTTCACCCAAGGCTCCACCATAAATTAAGACTCTGTTCAGAGACCCATTTATGTACCTTAGAATCCACTTTAACGCTTGCCAGTGAGCCTTTCCAGGATTCGCCATGTACCTGCTTACAAGACTTACTGCATATGCTATGTCGGGTCTAGTACAGACCATAGCATACATCAACGAACCAACTATATTAGCATATGGAATGCTGTTCATATAGGTTCGTTCGACATCAGTACTGGGACATTGATCAATGCTCAGCTTGAATTGAGGGTTTGTTGGAGTCACAACAGGCTTTGAATTCGACATACCAAACTTGTCAAGAATCTTTCGTAGGTATGCCTCTTGAGATAAGCATAATTTCGACTGCTTTCTATCTCTTCGAATGTCAATTCCAAGAATCCTAGATGCAGCTCCCAGATCCTTCATGTCGAACTCCTTATTGAGTTCAGCCTTCACCCTCATTACATCTTCGACATTGTTGCTTGCTATCAGAATATCATCAACATAAAGCAACAAAATAACAAATGAATTTTCAGGTCGAAATCTGGAGTAAACACAATGGTCGAACTGACTTCGAATGAAACCTATGTGTTCCATGAACTTGTCGAATCTCTTATTCCACTGTCGAGGAGATTGTTTAAGTCCATATAAAGATTTCTTCAGTTTGCACACATAATCTTCTTTCCCCTTTTCGACATACCCTTCAGGTTGCCTCATCAGGATTGTTTCATCTAAGTCACCATACAAGAACGCAGTCTTCACATCCATTTGTTCCAGTTCAAGGTCGAACTGAGCCACCATGGCAAGCAACATTCGAATGGATCTGTGCTTCACAACAGGGGAAAATACATCATTGAAGTCGACACCTTCTTTCTGAGTGAAACCCCTTGCGACTAATCTTGCCTTGTACCTTTTCGACATTACTCCTTCAATTCCTTCCTTAACTTTGAAAATCCACTTACAGCTGACTAACCTTGCCCCAACAGGTTTCTTGATTAGTTCCCAAGTGTGATTATCATGAAGAGATTTCATCTCATCATGCATGGCCTTTAGCCATTCAGTCTTCATTCGACTCCTTATAGCTTCCTTATAATCTCTAGGTTCTTCGTCTAGAACTTCACTTGCAGAGATTAAGGCATAAGCTACAAGATCTGCATATCCAAGTCTCTGAGGTGGTTTTATGACTCTTCTTTGCCTATCTCTCGACAATAGGTAGTCATCGACAGTTTCCTCAACATCATCAGAATCTTCTGTTTCTTCTTCGACTTCATCTGTGATACGCATTTCAGCATCAACATGCTCCACCTCAACAGGAATCTCTACCTGTTCCAGCTCTTCGTCAGCATCATCAGTTTTCTTGAAAGCCATTCCAGTTTCATTGAAAACTACATCTCGACTGGTGATACACCTCCTGTGACCTGGCTCTAGGCACCATAGCCTATAAGCTTTCACTCCTTCAGGGTATCCCATAAACATGCATTTCAGAGCTCTAGGTTCGACCTTGTCTTGCCTAATGTGAGCATAGGCTACACAGCCAAATACTCTTAGTTTGTCGAGATCTGGTGGATGTCCCGACCAAACTTCTTCGGGTGTCTTCATATCTAACGCTGTCGAAGGACATCTGTTTATCAGATATGCTGCTGTCGAAACAGCCTCAGCCCAAAACACCTTCTTTAATCCCGCACTAGTCAACATGCATCTAACTCTCTCCAAAATAGTTCGATTAAACCTTTCAGCCAAACCATTTTGTTGTGGAGTACCTGCGGTAGTTCTGTGCCTTGCAATACCAGAGGCAACACAAAAACTGTCGAACGCCTCATTGCAAAACTCAAGGCCATTGTCGGTTCTCAACCTCTTTACCTTTCTGCCAGTTTGATTTTCGACAAGAGTCTTCCAACTTTTGAAATTCTCAAAAGTTTCATCCTTAGTCTTCTGGATGAATACCCATAACTTTCTGGAATAGTCATCTACTATGGATAGAAAATACTTTGCTCCTGAATGTGATGGACACCTTGCAGGCCCCCAAAGATCAGCATGGATGTAATCAAGGGATCCATGTGTTCTTTGTTTGCCTTTGTTGAACTTCATTCTACAGGACTTTCCAAGTATACAGGGTTCACAAAACTTCAGCTTTTCGACTTTATCTCCACCAAGCAGATTTTGTTTCCCTAATTCGACCAGACCCCTTTCACTGACATGGCCCAATCTCATGTGCCAAATTTCTGTCTTCGACAAAGGTTTCGTGGATGCAACATTTGTCGAACCACTTACAACTTCAGCCTCAAGGGTATACAAGCCTTGTTTCTTCACGCCTCTCAAGACTTCCTTCGACCCTTTCATGACTCTCAGGATACTTTTCTCTCCTTGAAACACATATCCTTTCTTGTCGAATTCACCAAGAGAAATCAAATTTCTCTTCAAATCAGGTACATACCTGACTTCAGTCAACAATCTTATTGACTCATCATGGAGCTTGAATCTCACAGATCCAACGCCTGCAATCTTGCAAGCTTTGTTGTTTCCCAGCAATACAGATCCACCATCTTGATCACATAATTCTTCGAACAAGTCTTTGTTTGGAGTCATGTGCCAAGTGCATCCAGAATCCATAATCCACTCCTTCGACGAGTTGTTGCTTGAAACCACAAGAACATCAGATGATTCGAAATCATCTTGGACAATAGCTGCATTGCCATTATCCTTACCTCCATGATCTTTCAGGCGTTCAGGGCACACCTTTCTTGTGTGACCTACTTTCTTACAGTGATAGCATCTAATACCAGATGTGTCACCACTATAAGACTTCGACTGATTTTTACCTTTCTTCTTGTCGAATTTTCCTTTAACAGCCAAACCTTCACCAACCGTCGAAGGTTTATGCTCCTTACGTTCGTTCAAATCCTTAGAGTACAAAGCTGATTGAACTTCTTCAAAGGTCAGGGACTCTCTTCCATACAAGAGGGTTTCTTTGAAGTGAGCATGTGATCTGGGCAAAGCGCACAATAATAACAGCGCTTGATCTTCATCATCAATCTTTACATCAATGTTTTCAAGATCAAGAATCAGCTTGTTGAACATATCCAACTGCTCAGCCAACACTTTGTCTTCAATCATCTTGAACGAATACAAAGCTTGCTTCAGGTAGAGTCGATTTACCAGAGATTTGGTCATATACAAACTTTCAAGTTTCACCCATAACCCTGATGCCGTCGTCTCCTTTGATACCTGTCGAAGAACCTTATCACCAAGGCTCAACAAAATTGCGCTGTGTGCTTTCTCGATCATGGCCGTCTTCTCTCTTTCTGTTAACGCAGCGTCCATCGCCGTCGCTCCCTTCAACGCTTCCAAACAACCCTGCTGAACTAGTAGGGCTTTCATCTTCAAGCGCCATAGACCGAAATCATTCACTCCGGTGAACTTTTCAATCTCATATTTTGTCGAAGGCATCTTCTCCACGCTCACCGCACCAATTTGTTGTGAATTCAATGCCAATAACAAAGTATAGAATTAGGGAGAAGAATAAAGAACAAGGAAGAAGAACACAAGAATTGGTTATAACTGCTATTCTTTTACTTTCTCTTAGGAAACAAGATTACAAGTTTACAAGAATAACAAATAACCCTCTCACCCTATATTAGGATTTGCTGTTATGCAATGATGAGAGACTAGTATGCTATTTATAATAAAACCTAACATACTAA